GCTGGGGGTATGCATATCCCCAAGCCCATAGTGTGGTCAAGGGGGTGATGCTTGTGGGTAGGATGAGGGTGTAGAGCTTCAGAGTGAGGCCCTCATGGTGAGGGAAGGAGCCAGTGCATAGAGCAGGCAGCGGGCTTCCATGCGGACTCCATCTTGTTTCGGGCCTCTGACACCCACCCCCACAGGAACACACAGTGCTCCCTTACCCCGCAGCCCTTCCAGCCAATGTCAGCCACACAAATCAGTCAAAAACCAACAATGACTGCCCTGCTTGGTTCATCCTAAGAAGTTCAAACCCCAACCCCAAAGGGAGCGTGGAGTTTGAATTCAGAGATGAGCTGAGAGGGGGTCCAGCGGAAAGCAGAAATCCAGCTGACCTTGAGTTTCCAGGCGCCCGAGGAATAGGGGGAGGGAACCAGAGCTCATGGAGCTTCCTGCCCCCAGCCCGGCCTGCCACCTCCCCAGGCAGAGCCAGGATTTCCTGACTCACAGGGTGGGGTGACCCAGGGAGCTCTCACCGCCTGGGGCACCCCTAGGGACCTGTCCAGCCAGTTTCCCTATATTTGCCACATTGGCATTTAACTGTTAATTCTTCACATGCGTCACCCTGGGTATGGTTTGATTCAGAGCAGGGGAGGGCAAGAGGGAGCCCCAGAGAGAAGGACAAGCTTCCCACTACTGGCTGCTCGATCAGCTCAGCTCTGGAAAGCTTGGGCAAGCTCTAGCTTGAGCCTTGGGCCAGGCCTCCCCTCAGGGGTAGCAGCAGTAAGTGGAGAGAAAGGATCCTTCCTCCACTCAGCCCAGGCCCTCAATGGTGTGGACCGGACTGGCCTGGGAGGAAACCCGGGCTCTGGTCCCGTCTCTGCCTCTGCTGAGCTGGGTAACCTAGACCCTTCCCTCCCCAGGCCTGGTTTTTCTCATCCTAATGAGCACCAAGGCCCTCCCCAGTTCAGAAGTTTGGTGATTCCGATCCAGTTCCTCTGAGCTCTCAGAGCAGGAAGTAGGGGGGCTGGAAGGCAACCCGTGGCAGCTGTGGAAAGACAGCTCAAGCAGTGAGCGATCCGGGTGTTGTGAGGGGCCTGCTTTTTGTAGGGGCTGCCTGCCTCTTCATTAGGACTTATATAACACAGTCACAGCTAGGGAGACCCAAAAGGACCATCTGGTGTAACCCCCCCTGAATGGGTGGGGACCCAAGGGCCCGCGGAGAAGAAGGGCCGCCCTGCAGCCCAGGGGCAGCACCCAGACTGATGCCAGCTCCCCGAGGACCACTTGGGTCCCATCCCAGTCACGGGGGGGATCCAGAGGTTCTTTTCAGCCCTGGCCTTTGATTGCCAGCTGCCTGAGAAAGTATCTCTTAGTTCTCCATCCTTCTACCTCAGCTCTAGTGAGGAGGCTCCAGGAAGTGGTCAGAAGCATCTACCCTTGCCTCGCGCTGCCTCTTGTCGCCCTCCCCACCTTGCGCCCAGCCCTTTGCAGGCTGGGGTGAAAGGCTGACAGTGAGGGTGCCTCCAAAGCTCGAGGAAGAACATGGGCCTCGCTGGGCCTGTCACCTGGTTTCTTGGGGTGCTGCTGCCCAGCACCGCCCCTGCCCCAGGGAAGCCTGGCCTAGGAGGTGGCTGAGTATGGTATGGGAAGGGAGGACAGGGAGGGGTGAGACCCGCCCGGCCAGGACAATGTCAGCCAGGGCTTGGGCATGGGCCCAGCTCCCCACCCACCCTAACTTGGCAGGCTGTGGGGGCGGGCTGTGCCCGAGTGTGTATCTATGCGTGAACCCACACCCACAGGGAGCTTCTGTCCTCCTGCTTCTCATTCTCCCAGCCTCCTGCCCCAGATGGAAGAAAGTAAGGACCTGGCCCAGAGCCTAAGGGAGAGGAGTCAGATTCCCCTCAACCCAGGTGACAAGGATACTGAGGCGGCTATGTATCTTGTGACCTGAATCAGGAGCACAGGGATGTCCCCAGGATATGAACCGTCAGGCCGAGGGTTCCTCATCTAAAGGCCCATCATAGGTGGGCTTCTGGGGGCCTGAGAGGGGCCTCTGCTGAAATTGTAAGCAAAACTGCATAGATGTGGCTTATAGCCTCATCAGGGTTTCAAAGGGGTCTATGACCCCAAAGAGGCAAGAGACCCTGGTATCCAGCGGGCCTCCGCCGTTGGACAGAGGGCTTCAGAGAGGCAGACGAGAGAGATGTAGGTGGCTCTGCAGGCTGGTGCTGGAAGAGAAGAGAAAAGCTTCTAGATTGTGCATGGAAGGGAGCATAGGAGGACCTGAATAGAACTTGGACCCTGGAGCCTGGCTGTGGGGCTCCAAATCCCAGCTCGACCACTTAGGAGCTGTGTGACCTTAAGCAAGTTACTCTCCCATTCTGTGCTCCAATTCCTCCATCTGAGAATTAATAACAGCACCTTCCTGACAGGGCGGCTCTGTGGACTCTGTTAACACACCAGAGACACCTGGAATGGTGCCCGACACAGAGAGTGCTCCGTCTGTGTGTGCCACGATCTCAGGGCCATGCCACTGGATGGGACCCTGCAAGCCGCAAGGTGGACTGCCTGGGGAGAAGCCCCCATCTCCTGACTGGCTTGGAGCCTGGCCTGGAGGACTGGCCCCCCCAAAGGCAGTCTTGGATCTCCAGGCACGATCTGCCAGCCAAGCCCATTCCAGTGTCTCCACCATACCCACCCCCCTTCTGCCTAGTCTGCCTGTGCTCTGGGGAAGGACCCCAACCAGAAGGGGTAAGGCAGGAAAGCTGGGACAGGCCCTAATTATGGCAGGGACCCAAGGGGGCGGGTGGGGCAGAGCATTTCCATTTCAGCCAATCCGAGCAAACTCGGCTGCACGGCAGGGTGGCTAGAACTAACCCTACAGAGGCTGGAGCCACTCCAGGGGCAAGGGCCCTATCTGAAAGAGCACAACAGGTGCGGGTAGGTCAGCCCTGGGCCCACGCCACTGTAATTCTGAGTGTGTGTCTTGGGGGTGGCTGAAGGGAGAGGATCTAATTCACTTTCAGCAATAGAAGATCTCAAAATTATTTCGTCTGCACTTATGGCCGCAATGACCCCTGTAACACTTTTATACATCTCTGGAAATAAAGTTAGGGCTGGCTCATTTGCTTCTTACCTTTTTGTTGGTGGTGTCGTACTTCCTATATTTGCCTATAATTTCCACAAGTTGCTTTTATTTATTTATTTATTTATTTATTTATTTATTTTTAAAGATTTTATCCATCTATTTGACAGCCAGAGATCACAAGCACGCAGAGAGGCAGGCAGAGAGAGAGGAGGAAGCAGGCTCCCCGCTGAGCAGAGAGCCCGATGTGGGGCTCGATCCCAGGACCCTGAGATCATGACCTGAGCCGAAGGCAGCGGCCTAACCCACTGAGCCACCCAGGCGCCCCAGCTTTTATTTATTTTTTTATTGTATTTATTGTATGTATGTATGTATGCATGTATTTTTTGAGAGTGTGTGTAAGGGGGGAGGGGAGGGGCAGAGGGAGGGGGAAAGACAGAAAACCTTAAGCAGACTTCACGCCCAGCACAGAGTTGGATGTGGGGCTCCATCTCAGGACTCTGAGATCATGACCCGAGCCAAAATCTAGAGTCGGATGCTTAACCGACTGAGCCACCATGAGTTGCTTTTATAGGCAGAAACAGGGTGAAGTTGCATTCCCAGAGGTCTGTGCGCTCAGCCCTCCACCTCCGGGCCTCGGGGAATGCAGCCAGAATAGAAGACTCCATGTCTCCCATCTAGAATCTCAGGGTCTTGGTGAGGTTGGACAAACCAAAAAAAAAAAATAATAATAATAATCAGGTGACGGAGAGGGAGGTGGTTGTGCCAAACAGCGCTAGCGACCAGAGGGCACAAATCCTCATGGACACCAATCATAATATTGTCCCAGCCAGGAACCAGACAGACAAGCCTGAACCTAGAATCTAGGCTCTAGACCTTGGCGAAGCAGTCCTGGAGCCACTGGCCACAGTGAATGTCACTCATCAGGGATGTATATGTAAGTACAGTACTTCAGATGTCAAAGGCTTAGCATGAAAAATTCCCTTTCTGGAATTTCTAGTCTGAATTTCTCATCTGAATGTCAAACAGCTCAGCAGTATTTTTTTAACATCAATTTAGTGTTGAAATAATAATCTTTCGAATATATTGAATTAAGTAACGTATTATTAAAATGAATCTTGCCTATTTCTATGTACTTTCAATGTGGCTACTAGAAAATTTTAAATGACATATGAGGCTTGCATTGTATTTCTGTCGGATAGCACTGGTCCACACTGTCCCAGAAAACCCCGGAACGGGTCTCACAGTCAACAGAACCTGTCAGAGATCAGTGATGTTGAGTTTGTGTCCCTTGCCAAAAAAACAAAAGTCCAACCACGGCTCCAGAAGGGAGTTTTTGGTTTCCTGCAGTTTCAGACCCCTTACAATCCTGGCCCAAATGCAATTCTCCCAGGGGTCACGGCTCTTTGTCCTTTGAGACAGCTCAATTGTTACCCTCTTCCAGGAAGACTTCCTGACCACCTCTGTGGCCAGATTGGCTGCTGGTGCTCTGAGTTATGTTCCAACAGTCTGTTTACTCACTCCTGTCCTTCACTGAGAGCAGCAGTGTGGGCTCTGTCTTCTTTGTGTATCCGTGCCCAGTGTAAGGCCTGGCACAGAGCAGGCAGTGGTCAGTGCTTGCGGAACAGGGACAAGAATTTTGCTTCGCTAGAGGGACCCATCACTGCGTTGCCTCTGCACACAAGATCCCCATAACCTCTTCTCGGGTTTCAACTCGGAGGAGCTGACACCCTTAACCTCAGCCTTCCTGCCATGAGTCTCAGCCATGCTTCCTCCCAGAAGCCACCCTGGGTTGGCATCAGGAAGGAAGGGAATGAGCAGAAGGTGAGATGTCCACTAGGGCTAGGGCAGCAGGGGCTGCCTCCTTGATGGCAGCCGAGGTGGCCCAACCAGAGCCGACCCCCAGACCCCAGTCCAGAACCGTACTTACCAGCGGAAGGAAGGTCAGGAGGGGCCGGACTCTTGGCCGAGCTTTCAGTGTGGCTGTTCCTGACTCACTCACAGAGTCAAACCGATTGTCTCCATAATAGATAGCACCTGGGGGAGACAAGTGCAGGAGACCATGAGCTGGAGATCAAAGGCATGTGAGATGACTGAGTTAATCCACCCCGCAGTGCGGTTCCGAGGGAGGAGAGCCAGGCCCTGTGGTTGGCCCATCTGACTCAGCTCCTCAGCTCTTACACAATAAGATCCTGTCAATGGGGTGGGTGCTCAGGGGGCCCACTGCAGTGGGGTTGGGAGCGACGCCAGGGGGCTGTTTCCTGGGGCCTTCTGCAACGTTCCCAGCGTGCCCCAGCAGCATGTTCCTCCTGATTCCCGTACAGCTCCTGAGTCTACATTTCGACAAGTCGTCCCTCCTTTAGGGGCCCTGACATTGTGACCAGTGCCACAGTTAAAGCTTATCTCTGAGGGAGGGAGGAACGCAAGGTGGCTTTTCTCTCAAGTGTTTGAATTTCTAATCTGGAACAAGCAGAGAAGATGAGGTCACCGGCTGGCCCCAGTGGTCCAGCCCCCACCTTCTGGACTCTTCTAACTCAAGATTTCCTTAGTCCCCGAAACCATCAATGTTTGTGAGCATGGCTCCCCTTCATTGTACCCTTGAGGGCAGAGCAGAAAGAGTGGGACAGTAGGGTCCATGTGACCTAGCACAAATCCCAGCTTGGCTACTTACTGGCAGTGTCATGTAACCTCTCTGGGCCTCAGTTTTCCTATCTGAACAATGGGAGTGATGTTGGTGCCGACCTTATAGAACTGTTGTGAGGAGTTAGTATGGCCCACACATAGTAAGAGCTCAGCAAATGTGGTCACTTCCCCTGTAGGAGGATGATACAAAGACCCTTCTCTTCCTCTAGTTACTGGGTCTGTATTCTGGGCTTGCTTGCTTGTTTTCAAGATTGTATTTATTTATTGGAGATAGAGAGCACAAATAAGAGGAGAGACAGAGGGAGAGGGAGAAGCAGGCCTTCCCCTGAGCAGGGAGCCCACTGTGGGGCTCCATCCCAGGACCTTGGAGTCATGGCCTAAGCTAAAGGCATATGTTTAACTGACTGAGCCATCCAGGCACCCTTGGGCTGTTTCTGCAATAGTGGGGAAGCTGTGAGAAGGCATTCACACTTCCTCAACCAATCTTTCTCATGACCCCTAATGCTCATTGATAAGGATTTCATAGTCTGTCCCAGGTTCACACTGTCACCTCCTAGAAGCAGGGGTCACTGTGGACCTTCTACTATGTTGGTCATAAGCAGGAAGGGCTTTCACCCCTTTAACAGGACACGAGGGACTTTTGGTTCCTCTATAACCAAAGGGGAAAGAGAAGAAAAGTCAAAATCCTAAGGAACCAGAATCCTATAACTGGAACACTGAACAAATCATGATTACTTTTCCCGTTGCACGTGACTCCAGGAGCAAACTGCAAGATAGCCAAAAGATTTATTCAAGAGAGACTGGGCTTGTTAGGGAAGTCCTGAGATCAGAATACATTCACCCCAAATTCCCACACCTACAGCCACACCCCCTCTCTATGTGAGAATCTAGGGTTTTGAATATGACATAAAGGCTCTTGAGAACATCACAGCAGCTGAACCCAGAGCCCTTTGTGTGCTGCCCCTCCAGGCAGAGAGTGACTGGAACGTTCAAGATTCTCCATCTCTGAAAAGGGGCCAAAAGGACGAGTTCTCTGTGTGTGCCACAGTCCCCAGTAACTCCAGTTCCCAGCAGGGCCCTGCCCAGCGCACTCCAGGAAGACATGGTTGCCCAGTCCCTACCAGGCGCCACACCTGAGCTGGGAGATCAAGATGCCAGGGAGCCGGGGGTGGGGGGGTGGGGGCAGGAAGCATAGGAGTGCAGATCTGGCCCAATCAGAAATCACAAAAGTGGAAGATAACAGGAAAATCCTGACAACGATGGCTCTTGCTAAGCCCACCTGATTCTCTCTGGCTTCTAAGGGTTTGCATGTTGACACCAGGATCTCCTGGGACATTCCCCAGATAGTGGTGTGCGGACACCAAAGCCTAAATCCAACTTGTGTGATTATGGCTGCTGGGCCCTTACTAGGACCATGGTGGGGTGGGATTAACGCAGAGATAGCAAGAGAGGCAGGCTCCCAGGCTGACCTTTTCTCTAATCATCTCATCTTTGCATTAGTGCTGGGATCTATGGGGCCTCCTTTCTACAGCCAAATTGTCCTAACATCAATGGCTGGTGTTATCGTGTGCCTAGGAGCTTTGGAAGGGAGCACCCTGGCAAGGGGATCACTGGGACAGCAGTAATAATATAGTAATGGGTAAAACTTACCGAGCACTTTTTTTTTTTTTAAGATTTTATTTATTATTTGACAGACAGAGATCACAAGTAGGCAGAGAGGCAGGCAGAGGGTGGGGGGAAGCAGGCCCCCCCTGCTGAGCAGAGAGACCGATGCGGGGCTCGATCCCAGGACCCTAGGATCATGATCCGAGCCGAAGGCAGAGGTTTTAACCCACTGAGCCACCCAGGCGCCCCTTACCAAGCAATTTTAATGGGCCGGGCACTGTTCTAGGCGTCTTGCACATTATGTATTCACTTAATTTTTGAAACAGTTCCATTTTAAATTGGGACAAGCATCATTGCAATTGGGACAGTCATCATCCCCATTTTACAGATGAGGAAATGGGGACACAGAGAGGTCTAAGAACTTGCCCGAAGCCTCTAAAGCCAGGATTTCCACTGCAGGGCTGATCTCTGAACTATGTCCTGTCCAGAGTAGGGAATCCTAATCCCGCTGTTTACAGGGTGGGGGGGTTAGGGGCGGGGTGGGGAGCTATTTGGGGGTCAGAGAGTCTTGGCTGCGGCCCTGGTGCAGCTCTGGGGAGGGGCGGGAGCGGAAGCTTGCCCAGGCCGGGGCAGAGCCCAATCTGACTCGCACACAGGTGCATGGGCTCTAACCACCTCACAGATTCCACAGTTCTAACTGCCTCATAGATCCCATGACTCAGCCCTGACTGGGAGGCACTGTCGTTTTGGTTTGTGGTCATTTTCAACGAGGGAACACTTTCTAAAAATACAATCCATCTCTGGGAAAGCAATCAGAGGCGAAAGGCTGAGCTTGAGGCCCTGGTGGCTCTTTCCCCACCAGGGCGCTTCTGTGAAATCCAGTTTGGGTCCCCAGGACTAAGAGGCATGGCTGGGGTCAGGGCAGGGAGTATGGTGACAGAGTCGGGGCGGTGTGAGGTGAGAAACGGTCCATTGGCCACTGCTGGCTCTCAAGACGGCAGGGGCCACGAGCCAAGGAATACGGGTGGCCCTTAGAAGCTGGAAAAACTGAGAAAACAGACTCTCCTCTACAGCCTCTGGGAAGGAAGAGTCTCACGGACATGTTAATTTTAGCCCTGTGAGCTCAGTGTCAGACTTCTGACCGACAGAACTTCAGATAATAAATGTACGTTGTTTGAAGAAAGAAAAACAAAACAAAAAAGACGTGCAGCTAGAACCTGCCAGACTTTCCCTGGGCCCCTCATGCCTGGGCTCAGTTCCTGACTGAGGCACACCATCAGGTGAGGCAAGAGGGGCCACCACCACGAGCTGGGTCCTCCACGGGTTCAAGGTCAGGGCTGGGGCTTTCTAACTCTCAAGACCAAGGTCCAAACTAAACAGAGACAATAGAGTCCAACTTGGGGCTTTACCCATGGAAGTAAATGAACTGGGCTCCAGTCACAGTCTCAGGGGTGCTAGAATGGAGCTTCCTGAGAAGCAGCCCCCTCCTCACCCGAAGAGGTAAAAGAGGGCCAGGCCAGATCTTGAGGAGGGAAAGGGAGGTGAGGAGGTGGAGGGAGTGACAAAGAGGAAGCTGGACATCTCACCCTCTGAGGACACGGTGAGGCTGCTCAAGTAGAAAAGATCCCAGTCTACTGTCTTGCCCACCCTGAAACCTGGAAACTCCCTCTGCATCTGTCTTTTTACTCGGCACCTTGCCCACCGGAAGAGTCCTTGGGGATCTCGAGCTTGCAACATGGCCCAGAGGGACACCGGCAACATCCCAGCAGGATTCAGAAGGCAGGGAAGTGGAGAGAGCCACCAGGGACCTAGAAGCTTCCAGAGAAAGGGGGCATCTTCGGGAAACCCTGGGGCCATTCCAGCAGCCAGGTAGACTTAGGAGGCACCAGGGGCAGGGTCTGAGCAAAGCCGGAGCCCCAGGTGGACCACAGCCCCGTCAAGGCACAAAGAAGCATCTCTGCCTGGCAAACTCATCTCAAACGAGCACAGTAATAAGGGAGGAGGAAATTCAGAGCTGCCTCCCCATACCAAACCCGATCTTTAAAACAATCCCAGCTTCCCCCGCAAATGAAATCCTCTTCCTGACAGACCTGTGCCCAGGATCCCTTTGCATTTGGTTACATTTCTCTCTCACAGATGGATGGGAAACAAAGGCCGCTTTTCATTTACGCTTCCTCAAGGATCTGAGTTCACGTAAATCCTATCTCATATCCAGAAACCCGGTTCAAAAATAACTCTTGGTGGCCCCATGTGTTTCAGCAGGAAGACATCCCCTTGGACCTCAGGCCCCATCTCCTCAGCTGGGTTGGGGGGGGGGGCAGGTGGTGCAGGGGCCCGGGCTGTGGTTTTAGGAATCAGCAGAGCCTGGTTCCAGTCCTGGCTCCATCACTTACTCACTGTGGGGCCTTGGGCATGTTTCTAGGTCTCTGGGAGGCTAGCCCTCATCTTTGTAACTGTGGGTGATGATCCCGACTTGGGGGGTGGGCTGGGTGAGGCTGAGTGAGAGACACAGTGTACAACAGCTGAGCACAGCGCCTAGCAGATAATTTCTGCTCAGTAACCATCATCATCGCCACCGCCCTCATCATTGCGCTCCCTCTGTCTCCCCTTAGCTTGCTCAGGCAAGGGTTTGGCTCTGAGATCGAAACACAGCAAATTAAGGGTAAATAGCTATGCCCCTGGGTGTGAGCCATGGGGAGGTGGGTGGCCCTTTGCTCTCATGTCGGGGAGAACTCTGAATGCGGACATTTGGGGCTGCTCTTGGCAGATGGGAAGACAGAGGTGCCGTG